GAGGGAGGGAGGGTCCTTTTTAAAAAGCATGCCCATTCCTCTGTTCATCAAACCCCATCCAGGACAGAGGAGCTCAGCAAGGCCTCTGCTCATCTGCGGTCAGAGCCACCACACTGCCACAGCCTGCCTACATCAGTGGGACCCCTGTGAGGCCCAGAGATAGTCAGCCTCACATATCAATCTTCACTGGAAGGGCAGGGTGCAGGTGGACATAGGTGACTCTGAACTGTCTAGCATCCATCCGCCCCCATGGCTAAAGCAAACCGATCCCCTTTGGAGAAACCCCACCCCCTACATATTCTTTATGGGAGGTGCTGCTGCCTCCCTTATGGAAACCCAAAGGGTTAGTAGCTCCTTGGCCCCAAGGCAGGTCGGGAGGGTGAGACAGACCACCTGACTTGGGGCAGGACTCTGGACTATGGGCTGGCGACAGACGGGTGTGGGTGGAGATAGAGGTTATTCCCAGTATAGTGGCAGTAGGACCAGACATGCCCTGCCCCAACCAATGAATGGCATCTATGGCCTCGTTCCCCTCCCCCAGGCCCTGCTGTGCTCCAAGCCAGGCTCCCAAGTCCCATGGCAATCTGCTTTTGATAAACACCCTTTGCGCTCATTCCTCACCATCAGGGACTCAGACTGACAAAACAGGCTGACGCAGTGAGAAAGTGTTTGCTGGGAAGCGCAGAGAGGAAGCATTGTTCAAGGAGCCTCCAAATCCTCTCAGTACCTCAGTGATTCTTCCAATGTGTCATTGAAATGGATCTCTGAAATCTATTTTAAACTATTTTTAAAACAGTATTTAAAACACAAGCGTAGGGCTCCTTTGGGGGAGTACTGATGGAGAGGGGTAGGAGGGAACTCTCTGAGGGACTGCTATTCTTTATTTTTGATCTGAGCAGTGGTTTCAGGAGTATAGCCATATGCTTGCACAAAAAGTGACCGTCCTCACTACCACTGAAGTGTATACACTTAAGAACAGTTAAGACAGCACATTTTATGTCAGGTACATTTCATCAGAATTTAAAAAGCACAGTTTAAACCAGAACTCAAAACATTGCTTGAAAACTATTTCAATACATATGCGATAAGCCAAAAAGGAAGAACAGAGTATAGGTATAAATTTAAAAATCCGTCAAGATTTGTGCTCTTTACATGAGCAGTACCCTAATTAAAACAAGAAAAGAAACAAAGAAAACACTACTCTTCGAGATCTTTTAGTGTTGGCAAGTGTGTGTTGATGTGACTCAGATTATTTTTCCGTTCTGTACAATCAAAAGAAAGTACAAAAATAAATTGGATATTGAGGTAACAAAATTATACAGATGGAATACAGATAAATTGGTGCCAGGGCTAAGGAAGAGGGTAGGGCACCAAGGAGTGGCTCTAAAGAGGTGACAAGAGCTGTTTTGTTCTTGCTTGCTGTGGTCAACACACAAATCTGCACACATAATAAGATGTCACAGAACTACTATGGATGTAACAGCATACCAAAAAAAAAAAAAAAAAAAAAAAAGAATATTGGGAAACCAGTGAAGCCTAAATAAGATCCACAGTCTAGTTCACCATCCCGAGATCAACACTCCTGCCTCTGAGGGTGCACTGGAGGCATTTCACTGAAGGTACGTGAAATGCCACCATCAGACAAAGGTGGGTGACAGGGACAAGAGAACTCTCTGTGGTATTCTGGCACTTTTCTTTTTAAAGTGACAGTGAAAGATTTTATTAAGGAAAAAGAAAAGGCTCCCACACAGCAGAGGGAGTCCCACGTGGGTTGCCCTCTGGCACATTTTGTGAAATAATTTTTTTTTCTAAAATTATTTAACAACAAAAAAAATGTTAATATAAAAATAAGTTGGCAGCTGAGAACAGTACTTGACTGCTATACCCTTAGTTTTTGCGTTATGCTCTTCATGAAGTCATCCCACTGTTCTCACTGACAGACTCGATAATCTGTACAAGTAAAACGTGACACATTAAAATAAATCTATACTAATAAGACACCACCCACGTTTAAAAGAAGGATTCAGCTCCTTTGGAAAAAAATGGAAATCACTGATGTATGAGAAAGAGCACACGACGGAGCAGGAAATGGGCAGGTTCCCTCAGCCAACAAGCTGTCACCAGAAGAACCATCAGTCTGCACCTGCTCCCAGACATTAAAAGGCTTTCTTTTTAGGAAATGAACATACACACCTGGGGAGGGGAATCACATAAGGACATAAGATGTCCCCCGGTAACATGTGGCTAAGTGTCAAATGAGCGGTGCTAGGACTGAATTCACACGTTTCTGCCCTAACTGCCAACATGACCAGATTAGAGACAGGCTTTACCAAGCTAATTAAGGTTATATGAGGTCCCAAAGGAGAGATTCTAGCCCAGTAAGACCAGCACCCTTCCGTGTGGAGGGACAGACTGCAGGGAAGCAAGCACAGGGGAAGGGTCATGTGAGGGCACAGCAAGAAGGCTGCTGCCTGTGAGCCAAGGAGAGGGGCCTGGGGAGAAGCTGACCCTGCCCACACCCGGATCCAGACTTCAGCCTCCAGAACTGAGACGATGAATGTCTGCTGTTTAAGCTCCTCGGTCTGTGTGATATTTTGTTGTGGCAGCCAGAGCAAATGAATAAAAAGTAGTACAGCGACGTGGTTCAGAAGAGGAAAAGATTCTCCATTAGAAGTAGCTGCCTGCTCTTCACCAGGGGTCCGGATGCCCATTTATTTACAAATGGCAAGTTCCTCTCAAAAGAGAAATATTTGATATATTCAATAGAAAATAAAAGGCAGCTACAAGTCACATGAAGGGAAAGCTTGTAAGTAGAGGCATGCTGCTCACAGACACTGGAGTTCCTGCACTTGCACTCACTGCTTCATTCTTTCATTGGTTCCTTCTTCATTCAAGCAGCCAACCTAAGGTGGGGACTGGGCCTCTCAAGCCCTGTACCCAGCACCAGAAGACACACGGGTTGGAGGCCAGAGCTGGGCTCTGGGAGTGCAGAGTCTCCTGGGGACCAGCATTTCCACAGGGCAGGCAAGAAAGCACATGGTGCCTGGAGCAGAGGTGGCCCCAGCACAGGGGTAAGGGGCTGTCAAAGTTAACCTGGAAAGGAGTAGCCATTCCGGGGACAGCACGTGCTTCAGTTTCTCCACAGCCCCAGCCTTATGTAAGCCTGTGTCAGCTATCCCTAGAGAGAGGCATATTTATGTTGCCTTGGTTTTATAATTCAGCTACGGAGATGGCTCCCAAATGACAAAGGTTGGTTGACCTTTGACACGTTACCCTCAGATCCATTTATAGGACAGATAAAGTGTAGTAAAAATCATTTTATAGGCTAGGCGCAGGGGCTCATGCCTACAACCCCAAGAACTCTGAGAGGCCAAGGTGGGCAGATTGTCTGAGCTCAGGAGTTCAAGATCACCCTGAGCAAAGTAAGGCTCTGCCTCTACTAAAAATAGAAAAGCTAGCCAGGCACTATAGCAGGAGCCTGTCGTCCCTACTTGGGAGGCTGGGGCAAGAGGATTGCTTGAGCCCAAGAGTTTGCGGTTGCTTTGAGCTATGATGCTGCGCACTCTACCCAGGGTGACACAGTGAGACTCTGTCTCTCAAAAAAGAAAAAAAAATCATTTTGTAAAACTAAAATGTGACAGAAATGTCCGCAATCATCATACTCAATTTTGAAGGGCCTTACGAGTTACCCTGTCCCAAGTGACCATTTAATGGATTAAAAGCTGACATGGCGACATGTCCTACACAGCAAAGGTTGCGATTACCCACTTCTGGGGCACCATGAGAAACTCAAGTTTTTAACATGTGAATTTCACAATATTACCTATTTTTTCAATACGATACTTGTTTTCCTTCACTTTATTACAATTCTAAGCACACAAGATTTACAATTTTGCTTTTGGCAATGCAATACTCTATTTCAACCTCCCGGTGAACAAAGATTTTTGTTAGGGCAGAACTAAGCAACCCATTTCTATACTCAAAGGATGTTTTCCATTTAAAACCCACAGGAAATCAACAACAAAGCAGATACAAATGAAGAATGGAGACAAAGGAAAATGTCAAGTAAAGGGGGTTGAGAAGGAAGGGTATGGAGGAGGGACATGTGGTTTCCAGCTCTGCCATGTCGCTTTCAGCACTGTCTGACGAGAAAGCAACTAGCCTGGCACCAGAGCTGGTGGAGGGGACCAGCCTTACAGTCACGCTTTTAGGGCACCTGGCATGGACCATCCACAAGCACAAGAATAAAACACTAAGCTTTTGCTCGTGACAGCATCCATATAACTCAGCAAGCTTTCCCTCCTGCCTGGGTGGCAAAGACCATCACAGCCAAAGGTGGCCCCAACTATAGACACCTCTGGGCATCTTGGTGGCTCTTCCCCTTGGTTCAATTTCTCATATTTTTCTTATTAACCCTTTATCTAGATGCCTTCTACTGTAAGTAACTTCAAAACTTTTCAGGAAAGAAAAAAAAAAGCAAAATAAAGGCAAAGAGCCAATTTACAAGAAAAGAGGCCAGGGAATGTGTAGAGGACATATTTTCTAGACTGGAAGTGTTATCAAGAAGTGTCCAGGCTTGGCGCCCGTAGCACAGTGGTTGCAGCACCAGCTACATACACCCAGGCTGGGTTCAAACCTGGCCTGGGCCAGCTAAACAACAATGACAACTGCAACAACAACAACAACAACAAATAGTCAGGCGGGGGTGGTGCCTGTGGCTTAAGGAGTACGGTGTGGTCCCAGCCAAAAAAAAAAAAAGCTGCAAAAATAGCTGGGTGTTGTGGCAGGCACCTGTAGTCCCAGGTACTGAGAGTCTGAGGCAAGAGAATGGCTTAAGCCCAAGAGTTTGAGCTTGCTGTAACCTGTGAGCTGTGACTCTACAGCACTCTACCCAGGCTGACAAAGTGAAACTGTCTCAAAAAA